GCGTGAAAATAATGTAAGTACTTGTCCTCTTAGTTAAGAATTACACCCGTAAATTTTTTTCTTAAAAAAATTTCTGCGTCAATGCTTTCGATACGCATGACACGATCATTGCCTCTCTTAATTTCGTTCTCGGAAACGGCAAAGTTTAATAGTTGTGTAGAGTTAAGATGCACAACTCTCTATGGAACCATAACAGAGCGAACAATAGCCGATATGCGATGTGCCTGACATCGGAGTCAGTATGCCTTTTATACTCGTCATATGCAGACTGCTGAACCTCGTTCACGCTTGCCAGTATACGTTCTGTGTTACACTGTGTTTCACTGCCGGCGGTGCGCTGTCTGGTTACCTGTACAATAGTTGTTTGAGGTTTAGAGCTAATAATAGTTTGAGGTTTAGAGCTAATAATAGTTTGAGGTTTAGAGCTAATAATAGTTTGAGGTTTAGAGCTGCCTAATTGCGATTAACTTCGTAGATTTTGATAGATTAATTGATGATTGAACGGACAAAACGAGCTTGAAAATTCACGCGTTTTACAGAAAAGTCAGCCGTAAATTTTACAGCTTAATAACTTAATAGTTAGCATACTCTGTATTTCAGTTGAACTTGTATAAATGAAGAACTTCTGCCTAACAATACCAAATTGCACAACAAAAACTGTTCACATTCAACTCGTTTTCCGTCATTCATAGCTCAGCATATCTCCACATACTCCACATATCTCAAGATATCTCAAGATATCTCAAGATATCTCAAGATATCTCAAGATATCTCAAGATATCTCAAGATATCTCAAGATATTTCAAGATATCTCAAGTAGTATCGTTGAAGCTCCGAGTATGAACATCTTCAAAAACAGACTAGACGAAGCTATGCAGGAGCATATGTTCAGTCTTAAAATGCCTAGCAAATTACGGACCAGACAATAAGTCCAGCAGCTATCTCAATCAATCGTCAGCTATGGAAAGATCGGGTTCCAAAGGCCGGATCCCTTGTGAACCAAGTCACGAAAAGTTCAAGAATCGGCAACAGGCCATGGGCCTATTTCTTCAACGCCGACACTTCTATTCTATTCTATTCTAAAGTTAATAGTATAAATACAAGTAGTTATCATGAATCACTTGGATAATTTTATCTAATATTTATAGTTTGAAGCATGGTTTTGGAAGACGAAGTGCATGTGAGGCTATTTTAACTTTTTCTGAACCGAATGGTTCAGGAATAAATCACATTAACCACATTATAAATTATAGAAATAAAACTCCGAAATTTTGCCTAGAATTTAAGGAACCATATAACCATTTGTGCAATCCGAAAAAAGTGCAGCTTGCCTTTCAATAATAGGGCGGTAGCCTTATAATTTCACAGCAAGCTCATGGAAGAGAAAGTAAGAATGAATACATATTAACTTGATAATTCAACCTGAACACTGTAAATCCGTGACAGATAAAACACAGAAGTTCCGCAAGAAACAAGCTGAAGTAGAAACGCAAGGATCGTTATGATTTTCCAGAGAGAATAAGTTTCGAGGGGAGAATTTGTGATCAGTTTTGTAAGGCAAACCATCATAGTTAGAGATCCCGTCCTTTACAGGGCGTCCCTCTAAATTAACTACTCCGCACCATGCCGTTACATTCCTGTTTCAGAGTCGTTCCGTTGAATTAACTGGTCGGCTTTTTGCCTTTTACAATCCTGTTTAAGAGTCGTTGCAATATTTTTTGAGTAGTTCCGTGGCATTTTTGGGAGGGAAGTGCCGCAGCAGTTGATGCTCTCTGTGCTCTCGCGTGGGTCACGTGGTCGTATAGGCACTGCAGCCCAATTGGCGAGGGCAGCCCAGCCTCGGAAATTCGAGGGGTTCAGTGGTGCCTTGCACCTCAGGCTGTGAGGAGGTTGATGTTGAAGCTCCCGTGGAGCCGAGTGGCTCTTGCGCTTGTTGCGCTCGGTCGTCTTAGGAGCGTAAATTTGACTTGCAGATTAGGCGTCAAGAAGGGCTTACTCTGTCATGAGGACTTGATAAGAAATTAATTTGTATATAAGGCTTAACCCGAAAAAATACAGTGACGCAATATTAACGAGTTTACGGGAGCGTGTTTAATCAAGGAATTTAAAGGCAAAGAAAACGCCAAGAAAATTTACCATATCGCTTTTAAATTCCTTGTGAACTTGCGATATAAGCAGACTGATAATATGAGTATAAATTCATTTCGTTTTCATTTCACTACGATTGTTAGGAATAGAAAAAGTTGCAAAAAATGTTTTTTTATTATTTTGAGGTCACTTCGGTTTACTTGCAACGTCCATCTTCTGTAATGAATAGAAGTGTTGAATAATTAAAGAATAATGATAAAAAATTATTCAGTTATTTATAAGTTCAATAATGCTACTAAGACTGAGTATATTGTCACCAATAACGATTATTCAAATCACTTAACACACTATGCACTTACATTAATTCGAACATTGTCAATTTTTCTACGGAGACAGATTATTTCTTCAATAATAGTTATCTTAAAAACTTCTTAATTTTCTTGTAAATTTTTATTGGACGATAACCGCAACAGAAAAAATCTCACCTTCGTAAGAAATCTTTACACGGAAAAGTTAACGAAATTATACTTTCATAAAATAAAAAATAATGTATAATTAAAACGTTTGAAAAAATATCATAAAACCGAAAAGCTTCTTCTGCAAATGTTTTTGTAGCTAACAAAAATTTAGATTTTGAAAAGCAAATTAACCACGATGAAACTACGAAAACAATTCAATGTTTATGCGTTAAAATTTTTTAATTTTATCGGAGTAATCGTTTTTATTAGCAAAATGTATTATTTTTATTATCAGAGTATAATTCAGATAAAAATTATCCGATTTATCAAAAAAATTGGCCATATTTTTTAGAACCAAATTATTGTGCAAAGCGAACGTGAATCTTTGATTGGAATTTTAAAATTGGACCATACACTCAAAGAGAATGAAAATCAATAATTAAGTAATACGTACAATATTCGTATAAAATGAAGCACTAAAAAATGTGATGAGCTTTTTAAACAAACTATTTTCGTTCCCCACCGCAAAAAGAACACACTGCAATTAAATAAGAAAATTATCTAGCAGAGTAAAATAATGTGATTCTGCCAGGTAATCTGCACAAAATGCAAATGGAAACTGAAACGGTCCTTGTAAAAAATAAAAGCCCACTGTGGCAATGCTTATTTGCTCTTGAAACTTAATTCTCCCAACAGTCAACGATGTTCATTCGGGGCTCATGCGAAATTCTCAATTGTCTACCAATCATTACGTAAAAATATGGCAAAAGTAGATTTACAAATCTCTATTGGGTTCATGAATAATATAAAAAATCAGGAGCTTAGGCATTTTAGTATTTATTTAATTTTACGCAGTGATGAAATAATTTTGTAATTACGATAACATTGAAACATGATCATTAATATCAGCATTACAATCCTCTATATTGCAGAAGCTTCACCTATGATATAGTTACTCATATTATATTTTTATATTAATATTCATGGCATTTGAATTCAGCGAGGATACGACTGCATAAATATGCCCATACGTTGACCTGAATTAGAGCGAGCAGCATTAGAATAGAAGAAGCAGTAATAAAATTCCCGCAGCCGGGACTATTAATGGCCACAAAGGTGGCAAGCGTCAGTATTTTGGCCGGCTTGCGATGCGTGGACGATTCCCTTTACGAGTCGTTTGCTCGTTGCTATTCCGCATGAACAGCCGCTCGTTCATACAAAATTTCTTGGCCAGCCTTGGTCGCTACACTGACAAATCCCGAAGGCAAGTTGACGCCTTTTCTTATGGTTATGCCGCCCGACATTGCCCAGGAAAAAAGATGCAAAAGTCGGCGTGATCTCACGAGGGGAGAAATGGCCGGCATGTTGTTTATCCAGATCCCTGACGTGTACTAGCATTTGAGGAGAAAATAGAGTCGGGTTTTCTGAGTAGGATAACTTTATTCTGTTTTCTTTTTTTTACTGATGCGCGAGCATCGTCATTGATGAACATTACTTATGTATTTATTATCACTGGGTATTTCTTTTGTCCCGTTATAGCAAATATAATGACATAGGATGTTATATTACATTGATGAATAATATTAATAATAATAGCGGATTCAGCGTTTATTAGGCCGTAGGCCTGTCACCGGTTCTTAACATAGCAGAACATTCACAGCTTGTTGTGGTCTCGAACTCGCAACTCACTGCTACAATTCTGCTGCGCTTAACCGCCTGGCCTCCTCGCCGATTCTGACCAGCAACTGGCGCACAGAGCTGGGATCGAACCCGCGCCTCTCTGCTCCAATCCTGGTACTCTGAACTGTAACCACTAGGCCACCCTGCCCCTTAAAATTGTCGAAATGGTCGAAAAGTCGGAAAATTTTCTAAAATTCGTTTTGTTCGTTGGTTGCTCCAAATAAAAGTTTTATTTTCTTTCTGCTTCTCGATTAACCTATGTATACGCGTTTTATAAAAGCCTGATTCTTAATAAGATGGATAAGTTGTCTGCACAAGTAGCAGAATACATCCTAATAACGCATCAAGACCGAAGAGATTTAACTGAAGCCGCTTCTTGAGAGTCTGGCAAGCCTGGCTCTGGCAGAGCCTCCTTGATACGCTTTTAAGGAACATTACCAATTCTGCTTTAAGGTTTCAGTTGCAAGGAAATGAACTTTCCAAGTTTCAGCAGATCCCAAATACGATCAGGCTTTCCATTACTGGATTCTGATGAAAAATCCCGGAGATTTTTTCAGAGCGTGGATCAGGAAATGCTGAACAATGAGCTCTAGCATTGATACATCGCACGCAAAATATGACAATATGAATTGTAACTGCCATTAAATTATTACATCACATGTTCTTGAAATGTTTTATACTCTGGGTAATAAAACATTCAGGTCCAGTTAGACCTGAGTTGGAAGTGAAGAATGCACCAGATACTCGTGAAAGTTGGAAGTATAAGATATTCGTCTTTGAAGAAATACGAGCTCAGAATAAATTGATTGATTAATGCACTGATGAAATTTCACTTCATTATACAATTTTAAATATACCGCGTGTCAATTACCCTTCTGAAATTATCAATAGTTGACAGTTGTCTTACTCGTGCCGCACTAAAAATAGATTGAAAAATAAGTTTACTGAACAATGACTGCGGTATGATAAATTAGAAAACTCTCAAATGAGTATATTTAGTCAACTGTGTCTTCCATTATATGCATAGAAGCTCTAACACAAACACTGTGTGTGCCCTGAATACTGTTGAGATAATTATGGTTATAAAATTATGGTGAATGCCCTGAATACTGTTGAGATAATTATGGTTATAAAATTATGGTGAAAAATTGTTTATACTAGCAAAGTTATCTAGATATAACTAGAAAATCGCGAACATCAAAGAAATTGAACAGGACGATAATCTGTTCCTTGGATTTTTGAAGCCAATAAGCTCCAATTTTATATTTAAATGATGGTTAAGTTTTTTTTGTGTAGTTTAGCGACTGAACGTTACTCGAAATTTTATTCCTAGAATTGAAGTAGTTGCATAGAATAAAATAATGCCGAGAAAAGAAGTAATAATGCAGAGGAAGGAAAGCCCTTCATACTATTCGTCATGCAAGCCAATGGACAAAAAAAGCGCCCTGGTCGTGTATTGCCTGCAAATTATTCAGCGAATTATTCTTCTTGACGCCTTCATTGTTGGCAGCTCGTTGACGTTGGCGTCATCTCCATTTCCACGTACGATATTACAGTACAAATCTGGGTCGTCTTTTTCCTCGCCGTCACCACAGCCACCCGACGGCACTCAAGCAGATTCGTCGCCAATATTTACGAGATTTGCATTCGAGCCCGAGGTCTCATCCACTGAACAGCAATCTCGAGCGCCTGTCGAAATAGAGATGAGCTTCTTAGAACCTCCGCGAGCTTTGGCACTCGCTCAACATAGAGGGACTCCTTCAAACTTCCCTCATCCTTACGAAGGAGAGGAGGGGAAATATCCTCTTTACCCTCACGTCGGCACCTTGGGACCGTATGACAACAATTGGTTTCCGGAAGATTATAGGAATAGTCGTCGCAATATAGATCGGTGAGGCCTGCAAGAAGCAGAAGAAAGTTATAGCACAGACCCCATAAGTATTACTCAATACGCAAGCCTGTACATGAATATCATACGTTATTGTACGGAAAATTGCTGTTGATAATTCAATTTTAGTCGAGAATGCCAGGTCTGAATCTTATAAGACAATTGAAAGATAAATTGTAGTAGTTTGTAGAAGCTACCAAAGGTTCTGCAAACCTTTGTAGAATTGTAATTTGAATGAACCTAACAAAGATTACTTCTGTCTCTCAACAGTTGATCGAAGCGAGAATGAATGACTGTTGAAGAATGTGTTGAGAATGTTGAGGATGAATGAATAAAGTTGATTACTTTGAATTAAATATGCTCATCAGGACAATCTACTACCATTAGGTTTGAATGACAGCAATTTAACTATTTGAGGTGAACAGGCCATGTCAGTGCTTTCGGAATTCAGGTTCATGGACTTTTGGAGATTATATAATTACCATGCTATTGCACTGGCATACAATTAATTACACTGGCCATTTATTTAGAGTACGTGCGCAATATATAAACAAATTATGGAGATGTGTTTATTGACGAGATGATCATTGCAATGATGTTTATTCGCATTCCGTCCTGAGGAAAATTAGCCATAAACTTATGAGCTTCTGGTGGTGAACCTAGAAACTGTTAAAAACATTTTATTCTTGAAGTCCAATCCTGTATTTCTTTACATGATCTTTAACCACCTTTCCGGCGATCATTTTTTCTTTAACCACATTTCTGATGCCCAGCCACAAATTCGACGTTGATCCCTCACGTATTCAGGAACTGATAACCACATTTCTGATACCCAGTCCCAACCCTGACGTGCCCGGTGCCCAGGTCCTCGACGGGCAGCCCGGGCGTGGAGATCGTGTCGCTGGGCATGCCGGCGCTGGTGCGGGTTGGTGACAACATTAACCTTACGTGCGACTTCCGACTGCTGGGGGAAGGCCAAAGGATCTACACTGTAAACTGGTGGCGAGACAAGGATCAGTTCTACACATACAACACAGAGAAACACAACAATAAGAGCGTCTATCACTTCAACGGCATCAAAGTTGACGTGAGTCTACGTCGCTGGCTACTGTTTTCTTGACGCTAAACTTTGTGTTACTTTGCATGTTTTTCCGGAGCGGACGTGTATGATTTTCTCAAGGCAAAAGTCCAAATTAAAATTCTTTGCTCTACTTTATTTTAAATAAATTGAGGGTTAGAGTAATGATGGTTTCGCAAGTCAAAAAATTGCTAAGGCATTTTTCCGAATGCATAGCGTTCATAATATTGCTGAATAACATTTAATAATTTTATTTTATTACCAACAATTGTCTATAACCTAGCAACTTAGTCTAAAGCGGTGAAAATTTACTGTCTCGGTGTAGGAGTGGCGCTCAACGGAGCGGTCGGTTACTTGCCGATTATCATGTTTATGACAGGCTTAATTGTTAATATAAATAATTTGAATATTAATAATATTTAATGTAGTGCGAATTAGTAAAGGCCTCGGTGCAGGAGTGTCGGTCAACGGAGCGCTCGGTGGTGCTGCTGACCATTATGTTTATTGAAGGTTTAATTGTCAATATAAATAATTTGAAAAACTATAATATTTAATGAAGTGTGAAGTAGTAAAGGTCTCGGTGCAGGAGTGGCGGTCAACGGAGCGGTCGGTGGTGCTGCTGAACGTCTCCCAGGCGACGAGCGGCGCCTACAAGTGCGAGGTGATGACGGAGGCCCCGGCCTTCAAGACGGCCGTCATGTACAAAAACATGACAGTTGTAGGTGAGCAAACTTGATGATGGGGGTGATGATGGTGCCACCAGTGCGAGGTGATGACAGAGGCCCCGGCCTTCAAGACGGCCGTCATGTACAAAAACATGACAGTTGTAGGTGAGCAAACTTGATGATGGGGGTGATGATGGTGCCACCAGTGCGAGGTGATGACGGAGGCCCCGGCCTTCAAGACGGCCGTCATGTACAAAAACATGACAGTTGTAGGTGAGCAAACGAATTATTGATGATGGGTGATGATGGTTCCGTCTTGACGAATGAAAAAGTGATTAATGAAGGCGATGTAACTACCTAAACATATTTTGTAAGATAACAAGAAGTATGGCAAAGGAAAACCAAAAAGACCGGAATATTAAAATTCATCCCTAAATGAAAGCAGAAATGTCAGGTGACAATGTTGATACCATTCATCCCTGGATATTTCCTGATTGATGTCTTCATTGTTAAAAGATAATATCCTTCACATGCGATATGTTCATAAGCATTTCCTTTTATTAGTCTTTCCTGTTTATCAAGTCACGCCCTTGGTGACGTCAAATAGCGAAGCTATAAAAGCTCTGTCTCAAGCGATTAACTTGTCTTGGGCCGAGAACAGTCGTGTGTAAGCCCTTACTCCTGTCCGTATCCATCAGGACAGTAACCCTAAATTAATTTCAGAGTAGAAGATACACTCTGGACTTATCCATACTTCAACTGGACGCCGAAGACATCAGTGTTAAAGCTCCAACTTATAATCTGATTATCCTAACCTGTAAGCCGAACTATAATCCTAAAAGTATATTATGTAATCGTTTACGCTGTTCCTCTATATCCTCGGATCCCGCTACAACCGAACTACCGTCAGGTCATACTTAATTGCGATTCAATAGCGCATCGTCCACTACCAAATCTTACCTTTGTACATCTTAACCTTTTTAACCTTAACTTTTTATATCTTAATCTTAACCCCGTATATTTGTTCACTGCCCAAAAAGCGATGTCGCAAAATTAAATATTTCGGATTGACAAAAAAAAAAAAAAACGTTACTTGAAAGTACCGACGGCGTTTAATCTGCGAGTTCAAAGAAAGTAAACAAGGAATGGCTGAGCTGAAAAACTCGAGGTCTGGTAATTCCTCGTCGAGGATGCGTCTTCATTAGGATCTTGGGGACGTCGCTCCAACGATGTCACTTTTTCGTCCTAAATTTTGTTTGCCTTTGTTTCATTTCGCCTGACGCACCGCGGAGATTGCCTGCCTCGTTTTTACCCAAGACGAACTTGGGGTGAATATAGTTTATAATACGAAACGTGTGCGAATTTCGAGGAATATGATTTATGATACGTTATCCGACCCACGAATCTTGTTCCGTCCACGAGTTCCACATATTTCACAACAATCTTGAATTATGTATACGCAAAATAAATTATACTAAATTATTTATAACCCATTCCGACCATAGTAAACCATGATTCTCGTTCTGACAGTTCCACCAGCAAGCATCAGCATCTACCCTCAGCTACCAGCGCCCGCGCTGTACAAACCTGGTGAGACCATCCAAAGGTTCTGCACTGCTACAGACTCCAGCCCGCGCACCGATCTGCAATGGCATATCAATGATATACCGGTCTGTATGTTTATGCATCGCTTATATACTATTGTGTATCAATTTTAAACATCGATTGTTGCGATATATGAAGCGAATTTGCACGATTCGATGTTGGGATTTAATCCGGAAATTATTTATGCACCTTTCATTTGTACTTTATTTTCCGTAGTGGTATTTATTGCTTCATAGAAATGGATTGTATTATATAATATATCATCAGAAACATACTAAACTGAATATAACTAGAGTACCTCAACTAGAATATAATAGCACAATTGATATTCATAATTATTTGTATCGAGTGAATAGTGGTTTAAATTATCAAAAGTTGAATAAAGAAATAAGCTGCACATATTCATATTTTAATATTGATATTATAATCACTCCAAACTCATACAGCAATCAATACATAGCACAGACACGAAAACTCAAATAAAATAAACAAATGTTTCCAAAATATCTACAACTCAAACAAAAGGTCTCACAACAATATAGATTGAAATGCAAGAAATAATACTCAAATTATACATATAGTTCTGTCCGGAATTGTACTTGGATCTTATTACGTAACATCCAATTGTGGCAAACTGTAGGAAAGAGTCTAATTTTTCCTCCGATAGTACAGCGTATAGCCGGCTATTTCGCAGCAAACTCATGAAAGAGAAAGTAAGCATTAATATATTATTATTTAATATAATTATTGATAATTTATGCGCAGGCGACATCGGAGGAGCAGACGGATTACCCAGACCGCGTTAACGACGATGGTAGGATCAGCACCCGCTCCAGCGTCGAGCTCGTAGCGCCGGTGCGTTTCAGCGCAGGCCGGGCGCGCGTCTCGTGCTTGGCGTCTCTCAACGGCCAGCTGCTGTCCAACTTGTCAGAGACGCTCTACGCCGACGAGATGCTTCCTGTTCCTTATAACGCCTATGCTGTTAGCCAAGGTCTGTTATATTCTGTACATTATAAATATTGTCTCATACGGTTAAAACACTAGAGTAGGGTTACTTTCAACGGCCAGCTGCGTCTAACTTGTCAGAGACGCTCTATGTCGACGAGATGCTTCCTGTTCCTTATAACGCCTATGCTGTTAGCCAAGGTCTGTTATATTCTGTCCGTTATAGGTATATTGGATGACATCCATTTCAGGTATAATGGATGACATCCATTACAGGTATAATGGTCCATTACAGGTATAATGGATGACAACCTTTACAGGTATAATGGATGACATCCATTACAGGTATAATGGATGACATCCATTACAGGTATAATGGATGACATCCATTAGAGGAATAATGGTCTATTACAGGTATAATGAATGACATCCATTACAGGTATAATGAATGACATCCATTAGAGGAATAATGGTCCATTACAGGTATAATGAATGACATCCATTAGAGGAATAATGGTCCATTACAGGTATAATGGATGACAACCATTACAGGTATAATACAGGTACTGTATTAAACTGTATTATAAGTCAAGAGACGTCATAACAGAGTTCTTGGCTCGGAGCTTGATCGATAGCACTATCAATGTTGATTACTTTTTTTTCAACCAAATTCGTTAACAATTTCCTTTTCAAGAAGTCAAGTGAACGAATTTATCAGAGTTTTGTAATTCGAATAAATCAAATAGTAAATGCGGGAGTTTCTAAATAAGAGTTTTTTGGGAGTAAATGGGAGTTTTTATTTCGAATAAATCAAATAGTAAGTGCACGTTTTTCTTTGACTAATTTTCGTTGGGAGCACCAATAATAATAAATGATGTAATGAGATTTTTCCACTATTACCTTGATTCTCGTATGGCATTAACAGCGTCTTCTCTCTGAAAAAATCTCCCTAAATAATAAATTAATTAACTAATAAAAATGAATAGATTAGAATATCCTCAATATATTTCACCAATATTTTACAGCTCAAGAAAGTTTTAAACTTAAGAAATTATATTAAACTATTAACCATGTGATCAGTTTACAAAAGATATTTGAATGATAATTTTGTCTATGTTCTTAAAAATAAATAGTTAAATGTGCATAAATATTGGTCTCTGTGCAGGTTTTGAGGACGGCAGGCGCTGGTTGGTTATCCTTGAGCTCCTATTTTGCTGGTTCCTGCTGCAGCGGTGAAATCCACGCAGCCGAGAACTAATTAGGGAATTAAAGGGGAAAATATATAAAAGAGGGAATTAAAGGGGAAATTATATTAAAAAGTAATAAAATTATTGAGTCAATGGCGGATCTTCTTCATTACTAAACGCGAACCGCGAGGGGGAAGCAGGAAACAAAAGTATGCAAAAAACGCAAGTTTTAGAAGGAAATATGAAATGTAATGGAGTAATATGAAAGGGAAAAACAATTATATTGAGTTCGGAAGATGCTATACTGCGTACAATTAACTATAAAATGTTGAGAAATAGAGACTTTACCTTATCGTGGCAATATCTCGCTATCTGTATCTCGCCAGCAAAAAAATAAAAATATAAGCGCTTCGCCTAGAAAAACACATTTTCGTCCAGTATTGAGCTTCAACGTACTGTAAAATTAGCGGACATCTCCTTGTAATATTATCATTAATAACGAATAATAACTGCACCAAGGATTGTTTAAATGATTTAAATTTCAATCGAAACTGCCAGGCACTGCATAATTAAATGAACAGAAATTTTATATCGAATTCACACAACAAAAAATTTTTTCTCCCTCTTGCATACCGATCATTTCAAAAGGAATAATAATGAACATTGATTCTAACAATGATTCTATATAAAATGATAATTGATCGGATTTTACAGATGTTGGGAACATTGGTGAATTAAAATATGGAGAATAAAATAGTTCTTCACCGGCTTTTATGTTTGATATTATTTCAAGAGAAATATACGAATACTGTATATCTAAGCATATCATCGCAAAAATTTTATCCATGGTTCATCTTAGTTGTATAAGTTCTCTGGATAAGAATTGAAATGAAACAGCGATGTTGTCGATCAAAACTAAAGAAACACGAGCTTGGCGCTTGAAATTCAGATGCGCGATTACGATGCTTTTGATGTCTAGATGTTTTAGTGTTATTGTATTTGCGATTAAATAAACGATGTATGAATAACTTGATTTTAATCTCATTCCTCTAATAACGCAATTTCACGTCAAATCAATAAACGAGAAAAAATTAGATAGTTGATCACGGAAGTGCTCGTTTCAATTCTAATTGCGGCATTTCTTATGAATTTTAAAGCAATAAAAATGTACGCTCCGAACATGAGAATTCCGTTGCAGAAAAATTTAATGAAATTGAAAATAATTAAAATGTTCAGCTCAAGCTAAACATGCTTTATACCAGCCATGAAACATAGAAATACAAAATTCTGTTCAAGAGAACAAAACTTCGGCCGCGTTCACAGCGATGTTGTGTGGCCCGATCAGACAACAGTGATACGCAAGCGAACTTATCGTGCGGAAGTTAGAAAAGCCCGGCAAAAAGTTTAGATCTTTTCATCAGAGAAAAACCTATTTCGAGAACAATTCTGTGTGCCGGACACCCTGTGACAGCAAAGGCTATCATCAAATGAAAGAATTTCCTCCAGAGTTCTGGCAAGTCTCGAACTAACAGAAAAAGAATTTTGTTCTCCGTTCAGCCTACGTCGGAAACCAACGAATCAACTGTCAGAAAATGTTTGGCTGAGCCTCAAAAGACGCAGATGAGCGTCACAAATATTAAAGCTAAATCCATCCACAGCTCCGGTCGCAAAAATAAAAAGCCAAAATGCGCTATGAAAATACGACAATTCTTTGATCATTATCCGGTATTTTCCATCAAAAATAGAATTCGCAAGAAAATGTCAATTGTATATCAGCACAGTCAGAATAAGCACATGTAAATTGGCCAGAATCGAAGGTAAATTCAGAAATATATTACTCATTAATTATACATTTCCTAAGTGTAAGAACTCTTGAGTTAATAATTATAAACAAAATGAAAGGACAGACATAACAATATCTTGAATTTCCCCAACATATAATGATCAAATTGAAATAATCTACACATATAATAACCGCCCTCGAGAAAATACCTACTATTGAAGCAATTAAAGTATCATTAGCACAAATTTAGCACTGGATCAGAATTAATCGATATTCTTTTCCAGTCGAAAAATACGACAAATATGTTCGGCAGTTCAATTTGTGCCGCATATTAAGCAGGCCTATGTTCCAATCCATCACAATTTATCGAAGCGCCAGCAATAAGGCCATATTGCCCACCTTAAAAAATTCTATTTATCAAGCACTGGAAAATTGCCTCGCATCCGAACCCAAAATTTTCAGCTCAAGCGATATTCTAGTTGAAGTTAAGATTTAAGCACGGCGGTCCTGTTGCTTTATTCTTATTCAAAAATGTTGCAAACATACGATGAACACATTTTTTAATTATCGCTAAATGATAACTTACTAAAGATATGTTTTTCTAGCGTTGGATGATCGAGGCAGAGCTGCAAATAGATGATACCTATATCTTCAAATTTCACCAAGATTTTATTTTTCAAAAGATCCGAATGTCTGGTGGATTGAAATCGAATGCGAGTTTTTCAAATTAAATAGTAACACATGGTTGCGTTAAATAAAGATAAGGTTTGGTCAAGTACAACCGTTGATGCTAAGGGATGTTATACTCGTCTTTCCAATGACGAAAAACATAAATTACAGTAGGTTATATGTTATTTAATGAATGATTAACGAAACAAAGCCTGAAAAATCGTGTTTCTGCACTTCTCCATCAGCACAGCCGTCGACCTTACTAACTTATATTAGAGCCTATCAGTGCTAGCAAATCAAAAGATAAATGCCGGAAATGAATCGGGATTATTAATATACGAAAAATCTCAAATGAATACTTAACTTGTGTGTAGATAAATATGCTTATAATAGTTAAATATTTTAATATTGAATAATTATCCTATGACTGTCATCGAAACTCGAATGCATACGGAATGATTGAGCTTTCAACTGCAGTCGAAGTACGAGATATCAATTGCAAGATAATGCAATAAACTGCAAGCCTGCGATTCCTCTTAGATTCATTCACACGAATCACGCTTTACTTTCAATGCTTTGAACCAAAAGCTTTCTTCGAATTCTGGCAGCAGAAAATAAATAAAGTTATCTTCTAGAAAGAGTGAAAGGCAGCAAATAAATTGAGAATTGATCACGTACTCAAGCTCAGTCCGAGCTGAGGTGTTAATAGGTACAAAAGGATTGAAGGTCTAAATAGAGCTTTTCAATTTCATTCTGCTCATCTGAAAAATAGAATGGTCTTTTCTGCTAAATAGAATAGTAGATTTCTAATAGTTCAAAACTTTGACACAAAATTGAATGCCTTTTTAAATAGCTGCACGAGTTGAATATACTGTCGGACGAGAGAATTTTTATTATTTTTCATTGTCCCAGTGATCAGTTTTTCCCTTAGGAGGGAATCGATTTCGCTTGTGAATTTGGACGAGATTTTTCTTAACGATATTATATGAGGCCTCAAAAACTATGAAAAAAAACAGTTGAAGTTTAGCAATGGTTAACATCACCTTAGCGTAAAGTTGTCTTTAAGCTGAGCTTGAGATCTCCTAATTAAATAAAATTCTCTTATTGCTCCGGCTTCAGACAAGTTTGACTTGAATAAACATTAATTTAATTTAAAAAGGCATTACTGCAGTATTATTATTACAATCACGCAAGTATAGCCCCTCAACCTTAAACAAGCTCTCTCTTGGCGTCAATTGATGAAAATTGTATCTGAAGAAATAGAATTTTTTATTTCTACTTTAGAGTGGCCCTGGAATCATTCTAATCCCACACATATTTAATTTTTTTAACGAATATCCCAGCTGCCAGAATGATCATATATTTATTATTAAATTTTGGTCGGTGTTCACGCGTAATGTGAACAGAAATTCAAAGATGTTCCTTTAATAAAAAAGCAGAAATTTTTTTAGTCTTTCATCAAACA